AGGCGGGGTAGGGGCATGGCCTCAGACAAGGCGGGGTAGGGGTAGGGCCTCAGGGGGAAGAGGCGGGGCAGGGGAGATTCCCGCACTCCTGCTGGAGTGTCTGGTTTTTAAATATTGCAAAGTTGGCAACCTGACGTCCCCAGTGTGTCGTATTGCTTTAACTACTCCAGTTTAGTTAAAACAGCGCAACTGCCGTGTTTAGACAGGCTTGAGTGATGTCCTCATGCCAGGTGAGTAAAGTCACTGCTTGACAGAGCTCCCGAACTTCTCAGCAAGCGGGTGAACCCAAGCAGCACTGCCTATCACTCTGGATCCCAGCTCTTCCGAGCTCAAGAGACAGTGAGAGATTGATTTATTCGGTCCTCTCTTTGGCATCCCTAGAGCCCCCACCACTGTCCTGGCAAAGAACTATTCAATGTGACCAGCACTTGCCACACAAAGACCTCCACCCGACCTGCTCCTGAGGGAGCAGCAGCTTCGAGCACAGCTCCTTGGCTCGAGCAGATGGAGCGCCCAGCAGTTTATGGGGTGTTGTAGTGTATTGGAGGTACCCGTGAAAGGGCAAAAACTACAGGTGACTAAAATAATGACATTTATTAAACTCAAACTTGCATAATGCAATTAGAAGGGCGTCCACTTGAAACGAAAAGGGAACCTGGACGTATTTTTTCCAAGCTCCCCAGCAAAGCATCCAGACACGAGAGGTAACTGTCCCGCTCTACTCGGCATTGGTGAGACCTCGGCTGGAGCACGGAGTGTCATGCTTTAGGAAAGATGTGGACAAACTGGAGAGAGTCCAGAGCAGAGCAACAAAGAGGGCAAAAGGTTTAGAAATCCTGACCTATGGAGAAAGGTTAAAAACCTGGGCCTGGTTAGTCGTGGGAAAAGAAGCCTGAGGGGGACCTAATGGTAATCTTCAAATAGGTTCAGGGTTGTTATAAAGAGGACAGTGACCAATTGTTCTCCACCCCCACTGAAGGTAGGACAAGCACTCATCAGCTTCACCTGTAGCAAGGGGGATTCAGGTTAGGATTAGGAAAATCTTTCTAGCTCTCAGGGTAAGTAAGCTCTGGGACAGGCTTCCAAGGGACGTTGTGCAATCCTCATGATTGGAGGGTTCTAAGAACAGGTTGGACAAACGCCTGTCAGGGATGGTCTAGGGTCCTGCCTCAGCCCAGGGGACTGGACTTGATGAGATCTCGAGGTCCCTTCCAGCCCTACAGTTCTATGTACTTCCCACAAAGCCCTGTCCATTAGCGACACTGTAGTTCCGTTCATTGCAGTGTCACACACACACACGTTGTGTTGCAGCAGCATGCAAACCGTTGTGTTCATGAGAACACAAAGCTGCTGAAGAGTCTGATGGCCTGACTCTGCCCCCACTTACCGGGGCCCCACTCTGTTGGGGGAGCTGCTGGGAGAACTGGGGCCTTTGCCTGCAGCGATTTTTACTGGCCAAGTAAACACATAAGAGCAAACGTTCTACTATGAGAATTGATCGTCACACCCAATCTTCACTGGGAATTCCCAAACGGTCACAATTTGACGTTTTTTAAACACAATCCTGATTCTGTTTGCATACAGCTTGTTAATACACAGATTCTAGTAATAAAAGGTGAATTTTCTCCGGGTCACAGAAATTTGAGCAAAGTACCGATTTGGGTGTAACTTGTACAATTCCTGTCTTGTCCCTATCATGAGGATTTCTGAGCACGTCTTTGGCTGCTCCTCTTTAAACCCCAACAAACAACCCCCAAAGATTTCTTGATTTCTAACATTACACCAGCAACAGCTGTCTAGTCCCATTACACTAAGAACTGACCCACGGCCCTTAGCAAACTAATTGCGTATGCCCCTAAACTTACAGACAATTAGAAGACTTGACTCTTGGCAGCAGCTTTTACATTAACTAAGCAGCAATGCCTACAGAGTTCCCTTGCAACGTCATAGTTAAACTGAGTAACGACTAAATCCATGTTCTCAGCCCCCCACGCCTGTGGCTCTCCGCTAGCCAAGAGAAATATGCAGCCATTGTGTGTTTACCCCACTGCTGCTGAGCTACAACAACACAATCTCAAAGCGGGAACCCCACCGCCTACAGGAGAGCCACCCGGAGACTCACTGAACTCTTCTGTCCGCCCCCGACAATCCCTGGGTCTCTGATTTGCTTCCCTCCATTAAACAATGAAGTGAGCTCTCAGCTCCACAGTGAAGGCCCCAGGATCCCCGGCCCAAAGGACAGAAGAGCCAATATAGCAGCATGTCCCTGCCCCCCACTCCCAAGATCGATGACCCAGTGGAAGCACCTCGCGGCTCTGGTCAGGGGAGGCTCTGCAGTTCTGGGGGTTCACTGGGACCAGGGAAGCATGTCCTTAGAAGATGCCTGTTCCTTCCACACTGTCCTACACTACAGGAAGAGGAGAACAGGGTGTTCCTCGAAGGGACTGGAGTTTCCATCCCCTGTGAACCCTGCTGTCTGTGGGGTTTAGAGGCTGTGCTCCTGTCCCTTGCCCCCTAAGAGAGAACTCCACCCTGTACACTGCCCAGTTCCCTTCACTCTCCAGCCCCAGCCTGCAAGTTTAAATGGGGAGGTACCATAGGCCCCACCAGCCTGGGGCCACAGGGCCTGTGTTGTTTAAAAGCAACAGAACCCAAGTGAAACTTTCACTGAACTTTAACTGCTGCACGTGAAAGCTCTTGCTGCTTGTAATGCCTTACCGGGGTCATTCCCGTGTCATTGCCTTT